CAATATGTCGACTAAGAAAATTCACTGAAAATTAAAGCAAACATGTTTATTTGAGCAATTAGAATTGCAATTTAGGAGACGCAGTTTCAGGTAGAAACCTGACCTGTGTTCTGAGGAGGACAAAGAGGGAGGCAAGAGTTACAAAGGCGAAAGTTTACACATGTAGTTTTCATCTAGGTCCTGCACGGGAGTGAGGGATTGAAACCTGGGGCGGGGGGAGGTACCTGGAATTGGATGGGTCAGTATGCAAATGAGGGATGGAAGTTTGTTAAACTGAATGGGCTCCTTCCCAAGTGAAGGAGGCAGATGATCTCAAGTTGCCCTGAGTTGCAATGCTGAGGAGGGAGTTACTCCAGGCTGAGGACTTGAGGCTGGCTTAAAAATTCAAAAAGTTGACAGTTCCTCTGATGAGGATATGTATAAATTTCCTCCTCCCTTATGGCCTCCCCACCCTATTTTAAAAGAGCGTAATGGACTGAACATATTGAAATAGTCCCCTTTACATCAACACATAACAGCCCGGTGTGAATAGAAATTACCACAGAATGCCCCCGCCCCACCTCCACCCCTGCGCCCTTCCCGGCGCCCTAGCTGACCTCTGGCCCCTCCCGGGACTCCCCCCTCACCTGCCCACAGTCCTCCCGGAACGCCGGAACGGAGCCCTGGCCCGGCTGCCCCGCTCCCGGCGAGGTGGGCTTCCCACCAGCCGCCCAAGCTGCTGGTAATTACCGAGGGAGTTCCCGTGTCGGATGCAACCCGATGGACGGCTGGTGAGGGGGTGCGGGACAAAGGCTGCCGGTCGGGGCGATCGGGACGTCGGAGAGGAGAGCAGTGCTGGCGATCCCGCCGGCGGTCTCCGTCCGCGGAAACCAGGGCCCAGCCGGCCGAGGTGGGGGAGGCCGGACTCTGGCCGCAGGACCCCTGCCTCTCCCAGAGGGCTGAGTCCCGACCGCCTCTCGTTCCACTCAGCTCGCCGCCGGGAGGGTTGGGACACCCAGACCTGTGCAAGTCACTTACTCCCTCCGGGGCAGGCTGGCCTCAGTCAGTGACAATGTCCAGCCCTACCGACAGCAGCCAAGAAGAGCCCCGGGTCCACTTTGGAACTCCCAAGCGCTGACGAACCTGTCTTCCAGCCCGGCCTGGAACACAAGAGTAATTCTAAAGGGGAATGTTACGAAAGTAGAGAAAACTTAAATCTCGGACACTATCCATCAACTCTGAGGCAAAAATAAACACTCGCGACTCACACCTCGGAGAGGGAGAGAGAAACCGGCTGTACCCCTTCTAGGAAGAATAAAAAGGACAGACAGTTACAACCGGATTAGAGACAGAAAAGTAAGGGAGAAGGACTGACTAGCAGACAACAGCCCCACCGCAGATTGCAAACCAGGACAGTACGCATAGAGTGGATCTCTTGAATGCCCACTGATGACCGATTTTAATTATCGAAGGGATTTAATTGTTCTAAATACCCAATGGGATCATAGTTATAAAGTGTTCTGAGCGCTTCACACACCCAACATAAAAGAGGGCTGCATTTTGAGGTGTCTTTTCTTCTTTAATCCACCCCCCCAGAGCCCACCCCATAATCAGTGTGTTTCCCATTGGCAAATGTTCTCTGCCGGACACTTGCCGCTGCGAGAGATGGACATGAAGAAGCGCCAGGGCAGGCAGTGTGATTTGAGGGCATCAGGAAGCCTTCCCACCCCACCCACTGCCCAGAATTTTCCACCTCATCAGGGTGCCTCATCTTCTGCTAATTACCTAGTCACATTTCCAGATTTCAGGTATTCATTCATTAGCCTATTTAAACAGTGGGTGTCTTTGGGAGAGTTACAAATGGCTTGTGAGGACTCAGGGGCCGAGGGGATGGGAAATATGCTGATTTTTTGCTCACACCCTGGTGTGAATGCCTTTAATTCCGTGTGTCACATTGCTGTCCGTCCTACAGTGCCTAGCAGAAATCACCGATGTTAGCTGATGGGAAGACCCATACACAGTGGGGCAGTGAAGAGAGGCGTTTCAAAGCTTCAGGGCTCTGAAATCATTTTAAAGCACACACTTGAGGGGATTATGGATGATAAGAAGGAAAGAAGGTCAGGGCCTGCTAAGATAGCAGGTCCCTGGTGCCAGGACTTGAGGGGCAACTCCAATGTTGCCAACCCACAGTTTTAAAGGCAGGCTCTGCGTTCTGCCACATACTCAATGGACTGAACATATTGAAATAGTCCCCTTTACATCAACACATAACAGCCCGGTGTGAATAGAAATTACCACAGAATTTCTATGGTGCTAAGACTTTATTTGTACAACCCCAAAAGGCAATTGTGCAAAAGCTCCCCAAATATTTTAACACCCGTGGAAAACGTCAGTCAGTGCCTGCTTATTCAAAGGCCAACATAAGGTACCTTTTAAGGTTCATGCTTGTAAGAGGGATGAAGTAATATATAACTTCTGAAAACACAGCTAACCCTTGAACAACACAGCGGTTAGGGGCACCCACCACAGTCAAAACTCCATGGGTAACTTTTGACTCCTCCAAAACTTAATTACTACTAGTCTACTGTTGACCCGAGAGGCCGTATCAATCACATAAACGGTCGATTAACATGTTTGTATGTTTATGTATTCTATACTGTATTCTTACAATCAAGCTAGAGACAAGGAAACGTTATGAAGAAAATCAGAGGGAAGAGAAAGTACATTTACTGTACTGTACTTATCGGGAAAAAAAATCTGCATAACGTGGATCTGTGCAGTTCAAACCTCTGTAGTTCAAAGGCCGACTGTACGTGTTTTTTGCTTTAATTCAATTCTGAAACACCAGTATTCTGACCTCGAGCCAGAGGGAGGCCCAGCCATCTCCTCTACAGCTAAATCAAACTTTTTTTCATATCTTTTTGTTTTTGTTTTGTTGTTCACAAGTTCTTCGAGGTCAGGAAATGCAGACTTTTAATCTAGTGCTCTATTCAGTAACCCCCACCTCTTCTTAGATTTTATAGATCAAGGTTGGGGACCTGGGCCTGGGAGCACAGACCTCAAAGTCACCGACATCTGATGCCACTCACCAAGAGGCAGTCTCTTCCCTCCATCCTGTCCTTCTGCTAATCCAGCCACTTTTTCATCCCCACCTTCAGTTCCTACCCACTTGGTATGTGCTTTCTGGAACATCCTAGAGTCTTTTTGTGCTTTTCTTCATAATTCTAAAACCTGAATACCTTAGGTTGTCATAGAATAGAAAGAACCTGAAAAACACATTAAAAGTCTGATTGAGCTTTCTTTACCGAGCTGATGACCTTAAGTTCAGCCAACCATGGAGAAATTTATCTTCTTCTTTTAAAGATTTTATTTATTTGAGAGAGTGCGCACACACAAGCATGGGGAGGGGCAGAGGGTGAGGGAGAAGCAGACTCCCCGCTGAGCAGGGAGCCCCACGCAGGGCTTAATCCCAGGGGATTATGACCTGAGCCAAAGGCAGACGCTTCACGGACTGAGCACCCCAGCCACCCGGAGAACTTTATCTTCTTGTCCAAGGTAGTTGTTTCTCACGTGTGGCAGAACGTAAAATTAGAATACTTTGAGAGCAACTGTGCAATGTATTTGGCTAAAATTTTGGCAAATGTATTAAATTGTCGATTCTTTTATATAGTTTTTTAAGTTGTTGCTTTATCATCTCAGCAATATGTCGACTAAGAAAATTCACTGAAAATTAAAGCAAACATGTTTATTTGAGCAATTAGAATTGCAATTTAGGAGACGCAGTTTCAGGTAGAAACCTGACCTGTGTTCTGAGGAGGACAAAGAGGGAGGCAAGAGTTACAAAGGCGAAAGTTTACACATGTAGTTTTCATCTAGGTCCTGCACGGGAGTGAGGGATTGAAACCTGGGGCGGGGGGAGGTACCTGGAATTGGATGGGTCAGTATGCAAATGAGGGATGGAAGTTTGTTAAACTGAATGGGCTCCTTCCCAAGTGAAGGAGGCAGATGATCTCAAGTTGCCCTGAGTTGCAATGCTGAGGAGGGAGTTACTCCAGGCTGAGGACTTGAGGCTGGCTTAAAAATTCAAAAAGTTGACAGTTCCTCTGATGAGGATATGTATAAATTTCCTCCTCCCTTATGGCCTCCCCACCCTATTTTAAAAGAGACTGTCTTAGCTAGGCTTGCTTGCTCCATTATGAGATCTCCTTTTACAAATATTTAAGTTTATACAGTTAGGAATAAGGGCACAACTTTTTTTTTTTTTTTTTAAGGAAGTTTTTTGAGGGAGGAGAGGGTGTTTAGGTTTTTGGGGTTTTTTTTGTTTTTATTTAAATTCCACTTAGTTAATATACAGCGTAACATTAGTTTTAGGTGCACAATATAGTGATTCAGCACTTCCATACATTACCTGGTGCTCATCACAAGTGCACCCCTTAATCCCCATCACCTTAATGCCCATCACCTATTTCTCCCATCCCCCCATCCACCTCCCCTCCGGGGACCATCGGTCTGTTCTCTATAATTAAGAGTCCGTTTCTTGGTTTGCCTCTCTCTCTCTCTCTATTTTTTTCCCCTGTGATCATTTGTTTTGTTTCTTAAATTTCACGTATGAGAGAGATCATATGGTATTTGTCTTTCTCTGACTGACTTATTTCACTTAGCATAATATTCTCTAGCTCATCCACATTGTTGCAAATGGCAAGATTTCATTCTTTTTATGGCTTAATAATATTCCATTATACACACACCACATATACATATATATACCACATCTTCTTTATCCATTCATCAGTTGATGGACACTTGGGCTGTTTCCATAATATGGCTATTGTAGATAATGCTGCTATAAACAGGAGTACATGTATCCCTTTGAATTAGCATTTTGGGGTAAATACCTAGTAGTGCAATTGTTGGATCATAGGGTAGTTCTATCTTTAAGGGTATTTGGGTTTTGGTTTGGTTTTGTTTTTTTAAGTAAGCTCTATGCCCAATGTGGGGCTTGAACTCACAGCCCCAAGGTCAAGAATCGCATGCTCTCCCGACTGAGCCAGCCAGGAGTCCTGCCTGGCTTTTTTGTAGCTGCTATAACACCCAGCGCAATGCTAGGCACCTAGTGATATAAAAATTCTTAAAAAATATATATCATTAACTTGTTGAGTACCTACTGTGCATAAACCACAGTGTTAGGTTCTATGATGAACATAAAGACAGATGTGGTTCAATCCATGAGTTCAAATCATTTACCGTCCATTGGGAGGAATCACACTGTACAGGAGCAGAAATCAAATACTGTGGCAGTCCCAGCAGAGAGAGATTCCTTGTGGGGTTCAGAAAAGGTGCCATAGCAACGTGTTCACTTAAATAGGGTTTGACTTTGAGTAAGCAAAGCCAGACGAGGGAGGGGCAGGGAGAGTCCTAGTTAGTTGGAAGGTGGGTTGCTTTTGGAAGACAAGGGGCAAAGAGGCTGAACAGTGGCTTGGGTATCAGGCTGGGAAGGGTTTCAAATTGCAAGCCATGAAGTTTGGACTCTATGTCTTAGGCATGGGAAGCTATCGAGCACTTTATTTTTTTTAACTTTTTATTTTAATTATATTGAGCACTTTAGAGCAACACAGTCTGAGCTTTTCGAAAGATCGTTGAGGCACTTACTTGCACATCCTATCGGTCGGAGGTAGAGGCAGAGCATAGAGGCAGGGACAGTAGTTGAGAGGCTCATGCATCTTTGAGTTGAGAGGACATGAAGGCCTGAGTTAGCGGCGGAAAGCAGGGGATAGGAAACAGAGATACCCAGCACAGTACGTTATAGAGCACTTTCTCATAGATTTTTCTCATTTGACCTGCACAACCTCTGGGAGGTACTGCCCAGAGTTCGATTTGAGAAATGAGGAGTAAGGGGTTCATGGAAGTATTTGATTTGCCCATTTGCTTAGGGAAGAAGCAGCAGGACCTCCTGGAGGCTTCTTACTGGGGAGATGCCTGAGGCAGAACCCAGGGAACTGTTCGGCTGTGGAAAGGTCTGCGAAGAAGAGTGCACTTACTGGTGACAACAGTGGGAACAATCCCAGCGAGAGCACCCCCAACTGGGATTTAGAAACACTTTTGCTCACCAGCCCTTTGAAGTTAAAGAAAAAGACAAAA